GGGACTAGACTAATACCACTGAGCCCAGTTTGAAAGAATGTCTTATCCTGTGTTATAAAAAATTGTCAGATATACAGAACAGTTCAGAGAATAGTGTAGTGAATGCCTGTAACCGCTGCCACCTACATCCATCAGCTGTCATTTTGCCCTGTTGGCTTTATCTTTATAAGGATGAATGTGCATGTATGAAGTTTTCCCCTTTGCCTGATGAACTAATTGAGAATTGCTTACTATTTTTTAGCTCTTTTTGTGCAGACTTCAGAATGCCCCTTCCTAACTTACCAGTGAGGAAAATGCATGACCATTGTCACACTTTGAGATAATAATTACCTGTTTTATTTAGTAGTGCATTTAATAGTATGTATTCAGATTTGCCCAGTTATATCAAATTTTTTGAATATTTGAAATCAGGATCTACTTAATGTTACATGTTGCATTTGTTTTGTATGTCTCTTGTCTCTTAATGTATAATACCCTGCCTAATCATTAACTTAGTAGTTTTTGACTTTAGAAAGTTTTTGATAAGAGCAATTTTATTTTTTATTTTGGTTTTGGTTTTTTGAACAGTCTTACTATGGAGTGCAGGCTACCCTCATACTTACTATGTAGCCCAGGCTGGCCTTGAACTCCCGGTGGTCTTTCTGCCTCAGCCTCCCAGGTGCTGGGATTGCCGGTGTGTGTCACGACACCCCAAAGGAGTGACTTTAAATGTGTACCTATGTAAGTGAACGTGTAACCCTGTTTCCCATCACCAGCGCATCTGTATGTCCAGTTTTAAAGCAACTCTCTCAGACATTGTCTTCATGGTTTCTGGAGTAAAGTTTTTTTTTTTTTTTTTTTTTTTGGTCTTTTTCCTTTTTATCGGTACCGGGGATCGAACTCATGACTACCTGCTTGTAAGGCAGGTGCTTATGCCAGAGCTAAATCTCCAGCCCCACTCGTTTTTTTTTTTGGTCTTTTTCCTTTTCATCGGTACCGGGGATCGAACTCATGACTACCTGCTTGTAAGGCAGGCGCTTATGCCACTGAGCTAAATCTCCAGCCCCACTCGTTTTTTTTTTTTTTGGTCTTTTTCCTTTTCATCGGTACCGGGGATCGAACTCACGACTACCTGATTGTAAGGCAGGCGAGTAAACTTTAAAAGACGTGTCATTTTCACATCTGAAAACAAATTTTTGATGCTATCAAAATTATTTCCAGGCAACCCACTTTCTGGGCCCTCTTCTGTGTCTCTTAGACAGAAGCTATCTTTCTCTCAATAACTATTTCTTACTGTTAACCTCTGTTCTTTAGAATTTGTTCTCCAGTTTCGGGAAATGCAAACTGCACCTCTGAAGGGAAGCACCCAGTTAAATCTGTTTGTCTCCCTCTCCCCACCACTTCCTCTCCTTCCTCCCTCTCCCTCTCATTGTACCATTTCTTTGAGTGCATACCTTTCAATGTCTGCCAAATAAGTCCCTTGATCCCTCTTTAGTTGTTTCATTTATGTTCCAAATGCTTTTAAATTGAAAAAGAAAGGATGCTTTGTTTGCTTGTTACCTTGAACCACACAAAAACTGACACTGCAAATTCTGAATGGGGTTCGAAATTTTTAAATCCAGCATCTCTTCTCAAAATGTTCAATTACACACAGATAATTCTGAATCAAAAATTTGATAGTAGTGCTTAAGAAATTGTTAACATCTTGGTGAAGTATATGTTTACTGACTGCTAGGGCAATGTCTTGGTTAAGATCTGTCGTGATAATGGATCAGGAACTGTGGAGTGACCATGTCCATCTGGGAGTAACAGGAGCTCCTGCTGTGGTCTTGTTGTGGTTGTGGGTCGCTGTGTTCTGAGAAGCAGAGGAGTGGCTTGGGGAAGTGGCTTCTCCCCTGCTGTCATCTCCATGGCTCCTTTCTTTTGAGATAGCATTGCCCCACCCTGAGCTAACTCCTGCTTCCTTGCCAAGATGTGGTAAATGCTACCGAGTTGGTGGTCTGTTTTCTTGCGACTTTCCTCTGAAGTCAGGCACCTTTTAGTCAGAACTGGATTTTTCCCCATCTTTTCTAGACAGGGATTCATCCCATGTTGGTATCATGCACTCAGGTCCATTCCTAGTTTGACGTATGCCTGTGTTACACTGCTTTTTTCCCTCCAAGTGAGCCAATCACTTGGGAATTGTAGGTGTCCTGGGCTGCCTTCTGGGAGTGTCAGTGCATGGCAAGACTCATGCCACTACATTGCCTTTTTCTTTATAAAGAAAATGTTTTTCAGCCTTGCTGAGTTGGCATGCAGTAAAGCATGAATAAAGTTTTAATTTGTTTCACTGTGTGAAACCTGTGAAACCATTATTTTCCTTTTTAATCCTTGAAGACCAGTAGATGGGCAGCCTTGGAAAAAGGTAACAGTGTTAGCCTTCCATTAGTATGACTGATACCTAGATAATGGTATCTTAGAGAAAATACCTATCTTGGCTTAATAGTTTTGAAAGTTGCAGTCCATGATCAATAGAACCCATTACTTTGGGTGAGGAAGCAAGCAGGGCAGGGCATAGGTGGGTGGTAGAGCTTCTCCTCAAAGCCAGGGGATAAAAAGAGGAGTTCAATCTTTAGAGGGCATACCCCCAGTGACCTGAAGACTTTACCTCGTAACATTTCCATCACCTCTGAATAGTACCATGTTTGGAGATCAGATCTTCTTATAGACCCTGGGGGAACACTCACTATCTGAAGCGTGGTAGGGACCTGTTAGTGTTCTTGACTTTGAACTTGCTTTTCCAACTTCTACCAGAAAATCTATGTGCCGGACTATTATTTAGCCAAGTACCAGCCAGTATTGAAAGGTAGGGTATTCAGATTTTGGTTGTGTTTATATTTCCAGTTAACACAGCAGTAATGAATTGCAAAATAATACAGTGAGATCTGGAAGGATCTTTTCTTAGTTCAGTTAACAGTCATTGTGGTTGGGAGAAGGGGGTCACAACTGGATCCTGACAAATGTGCTTAGCACCTTCTTATGACCGCACATTGGGCCATGCTGAGGCTGTGTGTGAAGCTACTTTCTGGGTGTGCGTGAGGAGCTGGGGCTGGAGCGTCTTCCGTAAACCTGGACACAGCATACTCACACAGCATGCCTGAGGCACTAGAAGTTGGTGTCAGCCTATAGCAGAATGTGAAAACAAGGCTCACCTGGCCCCTGGGAGGAATGTGAAGTTTCTTTCTTGTGGTTTTAAAAATCATTTAATATGGATGAATTTCCTGGGAATCATTTATTATTTTTGTCTCTTTTAAGTCAAAAAAGTGTGTACTTTGCTAACTACATTCCAATACTATAATTAAAATTTTTAAATTTTATACTCATTTTTTAAACTTGAAGGCTAATTTATGTACAGAACACATATCTTAAGCGTGCGTTTGGGTTACTTGTTCCTTATGGATTAATCATTTCATATCATTCCTTCTCATGGGACCTTACTGTCCTGAACAAAATACAGAATGCTTATATCATCTCAGAAAGTTTTCTTCTTTTCTCTTTTGGATGCTTTTTATCATAGGTGGGTTTACTTACTGTTGGGTATGTAAATAGAGTCACTCAACATGCATTGCTCTGCTTAGGCTTTTTGTGCAGATGTGTCACAGTGTAACCTTTCTCCTGGTGATGAACATTTGGGTTATTTGCCACTTAGGCATTAGATTGGTGCACATGTTCTGCAAGTCCCATTGTGGAGCTGTGTTGTCATTTTTGTAGGGGTGACATCTAGAAGTCAGGTTGCTGGATGCTGTGGGACTTGTGTTTGTGGCTAAAGATGATGCACTTCTTGGTACCCATGGGCAGCCTGAATGCTATGTGCTGTTGGCACCAGCTGGGACATTGACACCCTTGCATACTGTGTAGAAAACACTGTGCAGGCACTTTGCCTGTGCCGGAAGCTATTCTTGTGTGTGCAGCTTGGTGTGTTTGGACCGCTGTGTAGTGCTGTAGAGTGCCACCACAGCCAAGTGACTGCCCTTTGAAAGAGCCATGTGCCCCTCCATGCTTGGGTTTAGTCATGAGTAGTAGTTGGTTATGAAGATACATGCCCCAGTCTGTCTGCATTCTTAGGTGGTGGACACTTGGGCCAGTTCCAGCTTTGGGTAGATGAGTAAAGCTGCTGCAGACATAGCTGTGCAGAAGCCCTCTCCCTCTAACTGGGGAGCAGACTGTTGTCTGCTGCCATGGGGGGTTCAGACAACTAATGTTTCCTCAGTGTACTCCTGGCCCATCTGTCACCCCGAAGTCCCCCTCCAGTTTCTGGAAACTCATTGGTGGACTGCAGATGCCCAGTTGCTGGGAAGGTGATTTCTGGTGTTGCACTGTTTCTCCACTCTCCTTGCTCAGCTGAGTCATCTTCTACTGCAGCTTTTTTAGGTTTCAGAGCACTGTCTTTGCTCCATTCTTCATCTGTGTAAGATTTTTATTATTATTTTTATTCCTCAGTCTGTCTTCTGGTTCTTTTAATATTTTTGGTGGAACAAGAGCAAATTGTGTGTGTTTGACCCTTTATGCTGCAATCTTTTTACGATAGGGCACTGAGCCAATCCTGTTGGATAAGTTTTTCTCTTTGTTTTTGTTATAATAAGTAACACTGAGACGAGCATGCTTACAGGTAAGTCTTTGTGTATATTTGTTTATCTTTTTAAGGCAGATTCTAGAGGTTAAAATACATAAGCATCATTTTTACAATCAGGTGAACACTTAAAAGGCCTCACCAGTTTGTATTCTTGTAGGATAGGATAGGTTTATGTTGTAAGCATATGCTCTGGGAAACTTGCTCACACACCCTAAAACCCACCTTGACTGCAGCTGTACACAGAGCTGAGGAATAGAGTGAGACTCAGTGAAGTTTGGGGCTGTAGTGGTGATGGGTCCTGACTGTGCTGTTCATGAGCTGACATGCATCTTGTTCCTCTCTGTGTACTCGTCCTTCCCTGTGCCTGGCACAGGCCAGGGTAAACTAAGGCTTCTGCCTTCTGTTCCAGGCTACACTCCAGGCACACCTTACAAAGTGTCCTGTTCCCCTACCAGCGGGGCTGTGCCACCGTACTCCTCTTCCCCCAACCCCTACCAGACTGCTGTGTACCCTGTGCGAAGTGCCTACCCCCAGCAGAGCCCATATGCACAGGTATGCTTGGGTACACCCTGCATGGTGGGAAGGGTCGGCTCCATTGGGTCTCAGTAGCTGTGGCACCCTGTGTTAGTTGTCTCTTTTCTCCTCACAGCAGGGCACGTACTACACACAGCCACTGTATGCCGCACCCCCTCATGTCATCCACCACACCACCGTGGTGCAGCCCAATGGCATGCCAGCTACAGTGTATCCTGCCCCCATCCCTCCTCCCAGAGGCAGCGGCGTCACCATGGGCATGGTTGCCGGAACCACCATGGCCATGTCAGCAGGTGAGTCTTTGTTCCTGTGTGTCTCTCCTGGGAGGCTTGAGTCAAGTGACCTCCCTTGTGGAGTGTAGCTGAATAGCAACCTGAATGTGATAGAGGCCATCTGTGGTGGGCTGCTCGGTTATAGTGCGGACTAAACCTCTCTGGACTTCCTTTACATGAGCTGTCTTTTGTCGGTCAAGCTGCATCAATAAGCATGTGTTTATGAATTTAGGAAGGTTGGTCTTGTGTTAACAGAATAGTTGCCTGTGGAGGTTGGTTGGTATTTATCTATTTTACGTCCCCAGGCTTCCTGTATGTCAGGAAAATAAAAACCATGGTAGGGGTAAGACCTTTGGCTCACTAGGGTCAACATGTCTCCACAGAGATAGGGGAGCCCTGGGGACTTATCTCATGATGTCTTGAGAACTGGTTCATCTCCAGGTCACATTAGCCAAAGGCCTGGGCCCACACAAGTTACACTTGGTTGCCCATAATACTTTTATCCCCTGAACTACTTCAAAAATAAAGAAATTGTGCCAGAGAAGAAGGCATGGAAGAGTCCATGTGCTCCTGCTCAGAGTCTCCATTTCCGTCGGCTTCCCAGCCTGTCTGTCCCTGCTGAGCAGACTGCAGACTGAAGCTGCCTGCCTTCAGCCTATGCCTGTAGGGAGTATGAACAGTAGACGTTGGCCCGTTGCTTCTCCTTGGACAGTCTCAGGTGCTGAGCCCCTGCAGTTACAGCAAAATATATTCCTTGTCATATAATTGGAAGCTCAGGGCGTTTGGAACCCTATCACATGTTTCTTTGCCCTTCCCATTTTTTTTTTTTTTTTTTTGGTACCAGGGATTGAACTCACCACCTTGTATTTGCCAGGCTGGCGCTTATGTCACTGAGCTAAATCACTGGCTGCCCTTTCCATACTAACTATTTTTTTAGCATACAGTTTTTGTTGTGTTGTTTTGTGTTTCTTATTGAGACAGTATCTTGCTATGTTGTTATGCTGGCCTTGGACTTGTGGCAGTCCTTCTGCCTCAGTTTTCTGAGTAGATTATAGGGATGCCCCACCATGTGTGGTATAGTACACAGTTCTCCAGTGCAGGCATATTCACACTATTTTTTCCTTTTTTTTTTTTTTTTTTTTTTTGTAAATCTGAAACTTGTTTACATGTTAAGCAAAACTCACCTTTTCCACTGCTCACTTCCTCTGGCAACTAGCATTCTGTGTTTTGCTTCTATGAAGTTGACAATTGTTAAATACCTCATCAATGGAATTACAGTATTTTTTTGTCATCAACTTTTTTTATTTACCTTTTTCACTTAGCATTATGTCTTTAACTTTCAGGTATGTTGTAGCATGTATCAGAATTTCTTTCCTATTTAAAGTTAACAATAACATTGTAAAACTTCTGTAGCTTCCCATCTGACTCATAAAAATCATTGTGCAAATTCTGTGAGGGGAAACGCAGACCCTTTTACAGATGTGTTATGGGTGGGAGCCTGCTGTGGCTGTACATGTGTACACTCTCTGGAGAATCTCATGAGTCTTCTGCCCATGTGCTGGGTTGGAACCGTTCCCGCCTTTGCACCTGCCTCTGGACAGAGAGGCCAGGCTGCCTATCTTAGTGGAGCTTCGTGCAGATGTGGGCCATGCTGCATGTAGGCCTGCCTTATGTGCCATGTGCTGCTCTTTGTTCTAGGTACCCTGCTGACTGCTCACTCCCCAACTCCGGTTGCCCCTCACCCAGTCACCGTGCCCACATACCGGGCCCCAGGAACCCCGACGTACAGCTATGTGCCCCCTCAGTGGTGATCACCCTGCAGACAGATGTAAGTGGCTGCAAAGGCTGACGGGGCCTGGCCCTGGTGAGAATGCGTTTCCTTGAGAATGGCAAAGCTATAAGCATTGACGAGAAAAATGCACCCTTGAGCCAAGAGCTAAGCATAAAAGCAATGTTTTATACTTTGGTTTTTATTGGGACTTCACAAAATAGATAGCCCATGAGTACCTGTTTGTCTGTTTGGAGATGGAGTCTTGTGTGCTACCACACTCGGCCGGTGTGTGTACTTCTTACACTGTGCACCTCAACCTTACTGAAATGTACTTACATCCCCTCCTTTGCCTGCAGAAAAGAGGGAAACCCTGGTCTCGGTGGTGGGCGGGAGCCAGAGTCAGCTGCTTTGTCCACGCGGCCCTCTCTGGCAGCCTGGCCCTTGCTATGGCAATTCTCTGAGTGGTATTCTAGAAGTGCTGTGTGTGACTCTGTGTCTGTTCTCCCCCAGGTTTGAGGATGGAGCTGTGCAGTCACATCATTGAGGTTCTACAGCTGGTGCTGCAGGCTTTGTGCCTCCAACCAGGACTTTCTTCTTACTGCTCTCCACACTTAGCTAAACACGACTCCGTCCTGGTCCAGCAGGTCCCAGTGCCGTTAGTTTCCAGCTAACTCTGTGGGTTGGTCTTAAAGCAAATCCTGTTTTGTGGTCTGCCTGGCAATTTTTAGCTAACTGTAATAAGAAGGGAGTATTAATCTATTCTGAATCATATCTAGTTGAATGCATGTTAAAAACACAAAAACCAAGCTTGCTCAATCTACCTGCAGTGACTGATGCAAAACCATCATATGCAAAATTCAAAGGAATGGACATATATTTTACAACTTGTATCACTAATGCACTGTTGTAATGTATGCAGTCTTACTGTTAATAAGTGTTCAAGTGAATTTCTTCATAGAGCATTGAATTACCTTAGATGATTCTTCAGCCTTTTGAGGTTGATGTGGGTAGCCAGCTAGGGATGTGGACTTTTAGTTTTCTGTGGTCCGTTTCTTTGACACTGATTGCACCAAGATGGAACTGCAGGGACAGAGAGAGTGTAGGGAGGCTACAGTGGCTCAAGAGCAGTGGTTATGGGGTGTCCCTTTCTGTTCAGCCTTGGAGGGGTCAGGCATAGGGACATGCTTCAAGATCATCATAAAACATTAGAGCGGTGTGGCCAGGACACTTAGGGGCGAGGGTGGTCTGTGTTTAAACCAAGTATTTTCTCTGCCATCTAAGTTTTCATTGCACATCTCTTACAAAGAAGGATGATGTTTTTTATATCTTGTGTAGAACTAGATTATTTTCCTGGGATGGAAGGTATGTGAAAGAGAAACAGGCCCATTTGGAGCAGGTATCATCTTCTCCTTTAGCTTAGAATGTCATTCCATGTCGTCTTTTCCCAAGAAATGTTTGAGTCAGTTAAAAAAAACTTATGTGTTGCTGTTTCTTTCACACAGAATGGCAAAGATACCAGCTGTGTGTTATGGAGGGTGTTGTATACTTACAAATGCTTAAAAGGGAACAAAACTATTTTAAATTACTCCTGTTTATTGAGAGGCAAGATCATGACTAGGTCTGCAAATGTAAAGATACAGCTTATCCTGAGGTTGTCCACATGATGACGACTTGACTCAGCTCCTGTCTGGCTTGTAGATGCCTAGGATCAGGGAGCCAAGGGCTGTGCCTAGAGGGTGGGCCTCTTCTGCCACCTCTTGGAGCTGTAGGCACTCGGTGCCAAGCATGTGGGACAGCACATGCGGTCTGGCAGAAGTGGAAAGCATTTGCCTGCTGATGTCTGTTATAGAAAAGATTTTGAGTTTAAAATCTGAATGTTGTACATAAGAAATCAAGAGGGGAATTTTTTTTTTTTTCCTAATAAGCCTGACTGAGTGACAGGAGTGGCTGTCTGTTCTCAGTGGGGTCAGAGGGCTAGAGGTTGAAAGACTTGCTCCCTTTTAGGGGTCTGTCAGGTGGGGCAGGTGCACCTTTTCTCCCACTCCCATGTTGCCTGTGTGCTGTGGTCTTCAGCTGGGAAGAGAGACCATGCTGCTGCTGTCTGGCAGCTTGGTCAGGGCCCGGGTGCTGGGTAGAGGTCGCTCCATTGACAGCCATCCTGGCTGGCAGGTGGAACCCTTGACCACTGAGCCTTTGGTAATCTTATTTTTTATAGTAAGTACTTGTCGTAACTTTCTGTTTTTTCACATATTATAAATTTGGGAATATTTTTGCATGGCTCATTATAAACAAGAATCCTTATTCCTAGTGTCCATTTACATAGAATGTTTACTCTTAAGTACTTTAAATTGTTTCCTGAGCACTTAACCTGTGTGTGTGTGTGTGTGTATGTGTGTGTGTGTGTGTGTGTGTGTGCACGCACGCGTGTGTGGTGTCATTTACCTTGTGTGTGAGAACACAGAGTTGTGTTCATTTCTGCAAGTCTGTTAATTGCATCTACATAATGGACGATTTGCAATGTTGGTAGGTTCCAAGGGTCCCAGGGACTCAACTGATTGATGGAGAAGGCATTTTCCTCAATTGAATGATAATACACAGGAGAACATATTAATGATTTTAGTGTATGCTTTATAAAAGCCCCTCACAAAAATAGAGACACAGTCATGCCCTTGACCCATAAGGGGTGGTGGTATCCAGAATCAGGACAACATTCTAAGAGCTTGCATGGACTGTCTCGGCCTGTGTGAGAGGGGCACACACACAGTGAGTGTTCTCACAAGTGCTAAGTTGGAGGAAGTTTTGCATCCCCCGATGCCCATTTATACCAGCTATATGAACACCTTTGTTCTCTATAATAAATTTTTCCCCCTTTTGTAAGGCTGAATTGGGAGACTATCAGATACTTCTGCATTGTACAATATGTTTCATGAAAATCTTTCCAATTTTGAAACTTATCAGGGCATCAGGTATCAGATCTATGAATGGTAGATGATACCTACCAGCTAAGAATCTAGACTTATAATAGTAATAAAACTGTCATCGGTTGTATTCTGTTCTAGTAAAGTTAATTAAATAGTACTTGGGTCAATAATCTGTTACAAAGCTGTATAGTTTGGTATCCCATGAATATTGTGCAACATTCCAAGGACTTTTGCTTTTTATACGTGTGACATTTCTGATTTGAGAGATCTTCAGTTGAATTACTTGTTCTTTGAGAAGTTGAGACAGGAAGCAAAAGACCTAGTTCTTGTAGAAATGGGCATCGCTATGGATATCTAGACATTTTTTGTGTTCTCTACCTGCTCCCCTGAGACTTGGGAGCTGCTTCTTCAGCTATGTAGCTGCTGCTGTTCTCAGCACATAGAAACGTAGTTTGTAGCCAATTGGAGGCTGATTGATGTCAAGCAGTGCACATATTCCCTGACACAGTGGTGAGGCCACAGGGCCAGAACCAGTTATGGTAACAAGCATGGAAACGTTTCCAGAACCTTTTATGCTTTAAGGTGGACATCTTTCAAGAATGTTCTTGTTGGTGTAGTTACGGCCTACCAGTTGTTATTCTGTGGAACCCTTTCCCAAGTGCTATGCAAATGTATTTTCAGGAGGCAGGGACCTGAGCTAGGCACCAGGCTGCTGAGTATCCAGCCCCTAGTGCCTTGCTCCATCTGCTGGTGTCATCCTTCTATGATAGGCGGCCAGGAAGTGAGTTGCATGTGTTCTTGGAAGATGTGCCAGTGAGAGGACACACTTTCGGAGGGCAGTTCGGAACACACTGACCTCCATCAGCATAGTCCTTGCATGGGCTTTCCTGATCTGATCGAGTAAATGTCGGCCTGCTTTGCACAGGAACTCCAGACTTCACCTGTGTCTTTGAACATTCAGATACAGTATTGCTATGACCAATTGGGCCACCTTCTCTCATCTGGCAGCTGACAGTTGGCTGCTCCAATTGTAGTTGGCCTGGCACTGCCTGGCGGCACAGGACCTCCCATGGGTGCAACAGCAGGTGGGGCAGCCACTGGTCCTTCTCTCTGGTGCTTTCTAAGGGGGTCTAGTAGGAGTATAGTTGGCTTAGGGAGGGCACAGCTTAGCATTCTTGTTTTGCATAGGTCTGTGTGTGTTTCTCTGCTGCCTGCTGCTCCACCCGAGCTTCTCCAAGGCTGGCAGACTTCTGAGTGCACTGCAGCTGTCGTGCCCAGGTGAGGAGGGCGTGGTCTAGGTAGAAACTTGTAAAGTGATCTTATATGTTTCAAGGTTTGTCTCTCTTCCTATCAGTTCATTTGAAGAATGGAAACCCTGTGTGATAACCTGGCTTTAGTCCAAAGGACTAATAGCTGTTCCTCAGAACCCTGAGACAGAGGAGCGGAATCTCTCCGGGGAGCTGCAGTGTACTTCAGGAGGGTGGGCAGCTCCCTGTCAGAGGGCCTTGGGCTCTGGCACAAGCTGGTGTGCAGTAGTAGGAGGAATGGGGCCGCTGGATGGAGCTTGTGCTCCAGGGGGCTGTGGCAAGGCCCCACCCAGGGAGCCCTGTGGGCTGTGACTGGATGGGAGACATTTCCTTTTTTTTTTTTTTTTTTTAAGTGATTTTTAAATACTGTTTTTTACACTGTTCTCTTGGTACTTTTTTAAGCTCAAGTCAGCATTGTCTTCCAGTGTTAAAGGCGCCCCTTGCCTCTGCGTTGAACTTCCATGTCATATAAAGGAGCGGACCACCCATCCTGAGCCAGTTCAATTAGGTGTCAATTCACACTATTTTAATTTTTTATGCAATCTGATGAGTAGATGAACTCAGATTTAAAATTCTTAAAGGCACGTTTATTGTAACGAATTGTTATGTAATAATACTGCAGTTTTCAATAAAGATTGACTTGTGTTGCATATTGTTTGTTATGATTTCGTCCAGGTGGGCTTTGTCCAGAGATAATTTGGTTTGACTGGGAGATATTGTGGCCTCCCACAAGTTTGGAGATTGCCAGGCATCTGGTCTGCGGGTAGTGTGGCAGGAGAGTGGATACGGGGCTGGGGGATGTCTGTCCAGATGGGACACACAGTGAAGCAGCCTTGGGCTTCTCTCCTGGCATCTGTGACTGCCATGTTCCTGAGAAAAAGTGTGCCTGTTCAGCAGGGAGGATGCCGAGGCCTATAAACATTTGGCAACTCTGGCAGAAAACCCTTGGAGCAGTGAGGAAGAAGAGGGGTAGCCTCCAGGCTCAGGATAGAGGAACAGTGTCGGCTGTGCCCCATGCCTGGTGGTCCCAGGGCTGTATTCCTCCTCACTCGCTCATGTCCAGGCTCTTTTCCTCTTTAGGAAAGGCTAGAGGAGAGCCCTGGTAGCAGGCAAGTAAAGGTGGTGGGTGTGTACGTGGAAGAAAACACAGGCACACCACCATCCAGGTTACTTTTCACCAGTTTCTTTATGAAATCAGTGTGGTTTCTGGCCTGGAGAAGGGATAGTACAAGAGTGACCATCCATGCTGCTGAGTCTTGTGGGCTCCACGCCAAGGCTCAGGCTGTGCCCTTATATCTCTACAGGATACAGGTGCCTTGCTGCACCCCACCACCAGGGCTGGATGGATCAGTTCTGGATTCTGGGCCGTAGAATTCAGTCTTTATGGCTTTTCATGCCTACTCCGGTTTTAGAAAATGCAACAAAATCCAACACAGAAACCAAGTGATTCTGCAGCTGCCTCACAGCTGCAGATGTCACAGAACAGACGTTCCTGTGTGGCTGATGCTTATCCACATCACAAGTGAAGAGGTCGTCAGCAGCCTGTAGAGGGGTTGGGAGGCAGAAGGGCAGCTCTGGGCCAGACATTTGGGGTGCAGAACTGGTATGCCCACTAAGGTTGCAAGGGGCCTGAATGAGCTAGAGGGTAGGGGGCATGGTCCAGCTTTGCAGGAGCCTGGTGGCCATAGGTAGGCCTGTCCTGCCCAGAGACAAGCTTAGGGCTGTGTAGATTTCCCAGGAGTCCTGAGTGGCCAGCACCCTCTTGAGTGTAAGCGGATGAGGATGGTGGCAGGCAGGCTGAAGAAGTGCTGCTCATATGTGTGGAGCCCTGCTTCCCCCTGCCAGATAGTCTCTCCACTGCCTTGTCACTCTGCCAGCAGCAAGGATGAAACCCAGGAGGGGGCACAGACCTGGCACTGCCTTGGAGCCCCAAGCAACTCCTTTGCTCAGCCCTGATCACTTGCAGTTTGCAAAACAGAGAAGGGCCAGGTGGAGAAGGCCTCACGAGGCAAAGCTGGGAGCTGTAGGTAGACAGGGCCACAAAGTGCTGTCGGGTGGGTGCCGGCTCATTTACGGAAGGGTGCCAGCCTGCTGATGCTGTGCCAGAAGGTGGATGGTTTCCGCTGGGGCTCTGTCAGTACCAGGACCTGCTGTTGGGGCCAGCTTATGGGCAGTTTTGGGTGCTTCTGGCGCGTCAGGTAGCAGGGCCTGCCAACAGCTGGGCCAGGAGAAGCAACAGTCATGGGTGCCAAGTGGCACAGGGCAGAGGTGCTCCTTGCTGGGCTCTGCAGGGGACCCTCCCTCCCATTTGTAGTTGGTTTGGCTGCGCAGGTCTTGTTTCCCCAGGGCTGACCATGCCCTGAAGCCTGTGGTCTGAGCCTGGCTTACTGCAGCCTTGGAGGGGATGGAGAATGGCCATGTCCAAGGTTCATGCCATTTGACTGTAGAAATGGGGGATGAGTCTTTCTTAGGCAGCTGTGACAGAACTTGTCAGACAGCCTGGGGAATGGAGCACTGTCATTCTGGGGAGGTCAGAGAGGCAAAGAGCAGGAACAGCTGTAAAATGATCCAGTCTTTATCACTGGCTTTCTTGTGACCAGCCTTGGGAACATACCTGCAGAGGGCAGTGGGCACCTCCAAGGACCCAGGTGTTTTGTGACTTTGCTTTGGGGGTCAAGAGGGGAATGTGACTGGTCCAGGACTGCCAGAGCTAGAACCCCTAGCCACTTACCTTTGGGCTTCCCTGTGGCCTGCTGTTTGCTGGCACTCAGCATGGCCTGTTTCCGCTGCAGCTCTGTGATAGAGAAACCTGGGGAGAGGGCACACACAAGACCTTTTGTCCTTCCCTGTCCACATGCCTCTGTAGGCTGTGGCCTGCTGCCCTCCCCATGTTGAGTCATCCTCCATCCTGCTGTCTATCTGCCCTCTCAGCAGGATGACGGATAAGCCTCTGGAGACCCTCCACCCCATACCGCGCCCCCCCCCCCCCCAATTTGGAGTCCTCTCTGCCGCAGTAGAGGCTCTCCCTAGGCACAAATGAAATGGGCACTGCAGAGTGTAACACCAGGACCTGGGCCCAGGAGGTGGGGAGCTCATGTGGGGAACAGGGTGCTTCTGGAAGCCGGTATCCCTTCACTGCTTCTCCAAGGGTTTGAGCTGCCTGGAAAGGGTCTGTCCCTGCTCTGAGCAGTGGGATGGGGAGTGCCTAGGAGTCTGTGCTTTCCACCCTAGCCAGCTTTGGAGGCAGAAGCTGCGAGGGCCGTTCCTGCTCGTGGGGTGAGGGTGGCAGTGCCTGTGCTGACTGCTGGGACCAAGAGGCTCTTGAGCCTCACTGTGCTAGACACACACTCATTGCTACACAGTGGTCCTGATTGCCTGGCATAGGCATAGTTGGGCTGAGAGGGCCAGAGAAGGGCAAGACCTACCAGGGTTTCGTACCTGTCTCCTGATCCAGGCGCACCTGCTCCCTCTCCCTGGCGAAGGCCTTGAGCCAGTGCTGCTTCTGCTCAGGCTTCCTAGCACAGAGTAGGTGGCTGTCCCCTGAGATGCCACAGTGCAGCCGGAAGGCATTCTTGATGTTCAAGTGGAGGTCACGGTCCTTGCCGTCCTCGAGGTCTACCACTGCTAAGCTGTCCATATCCAGCCTGCCCTTGTAGTACAGCACATCTCGGCGAAGTAGATCCTGCCAGACGCTGTCCTGAGCCCAGGTTATTGCACCCTGGGTCAACCCCCACCCTCAGCCCAGCTCCCTTCCCAGTGCAGAGTGGGCACCTGACAGCCCTGGTACAAGCCTGGATAGCCATATGTCAACCTGCAGGGGCTGCCCCAGAGACTAAGGCAGCAGCGTGCTAGCCACAGTGAAGAGCACAGTATGCATGAGGGACTCCTGTGTCGGCTTCTCTGGGCCATGTTTTGACAAAGAAGCAGAAGCTGCAAGCTACAGAAAGACCAAGGGATGGCTGCAGCAGAGGACCTCGGGATTGGCAGAGGGGAGCCAAGGTCTGTGGGGGATGAGGTGGCTGGAGAAGCAGGCAGGGGTCAGGTCAGCAATGAGGGTGTCTTCAATGGGGCCTTGGCCAGATGGAGAGCTACCCTCACCTCACCTCACCTCTGACAAGGGCTCCCAGGAATGGCTGTGGAGGGCCTGGCAGGCCCTCAGTTTGGGCAGCTATCCCTCAGCTTTAGGGCCCACCCCCCCTGCTCTGCATGGGGCTGGCCCAGTAGGGTGGCAACTTTTACCTTCTTACAGTAGATGAGCTGATGATCAAACAGAAAAAACATTCTCTGCTGGCTCTTGGCTTGAGGCTGTGTAACGCGAGTCAGCTCTCCGGAGTAGATGAGTTCTGAGCTCCTAACTAAGAGATCTTCCCCCTGAGGGACCCCAAGCAGAGGCAGAGCTGAGTATACCTAACCTGGGCCCCTGTGGCTGGCCTCCTACATGAGCCCTGGGGGTGGGCATCTGGAAGGCCAGGGAGTCCTCTGGGTCTTGGAGGTGAGTGCTGATGAGGGTGAGGTAGGTTTGACCTGGGCTGGCTGGCCTTCCAGACCCACCTTTCTGTGGCCTCCGTGGCTCTTGGACAGTGGAAAGTGCCTGTTCCATATTAAGAATGTGATGCTGGGGTAAAATATACACGGTCTTTGAAGATTTAGTGAGAAGCAGAATGTAAAATGTATCACAAATCATATTTTATGCTGACTACAGCTGAAGTGATGGAATTATTATTGAGTTAAACATAGTCACTTTCACCTTTTTTTTTTTTCCTTTCTTTGTTAAAATGGCTACTAGAACTGGATGTGGTGGTACATGCTTGTAACCCTAGTACTTGGGAGGACTGCTGTTGAGTTCAAGGCTAGCCTGGGCTACATAGTAAGTTGAGGACCAGCCTGAACCATGTATTGTGACCCTGTCTCAAAAATCAAAAGATGACTACTAGAAAGTGCAGAAGTCTGTATGATGCTCACGTGATCTTTTGACTGGACAGTGCTGCCCTCAAAAAAAAGTTAGGCTGTGAGTCACCTCTGTAGCCAGTCTTTAAGGTCTTAAGGGTCCCTTTTCCCAGCTTAAATGTATTTTAAAACCCGATTTCCACCATCAGAGTGTCACTGTTTGGGCTGTGCTGATGGGACTCCCTAGTGGGAGTCCCACAGGCTGACCAAAGTCCAGGGACCCAATGTGGTCTCAAGGGCAGAGGAGCAGGGTGCTGTTGAGAAACGCCCTTCTTCTCACAGGCCTCCAGAGCGGGCAGGGAAGACTATCCTGTCTCACAGGGGCAGAAGGCCACCAGCGTGTCTGGCTCTGCAAGGTCCCACCAGTCACCACAGCTGTGGTAAGAACCTGCTTTTCCCTGTGGGTGTCCACTCCTGCTCAGCAGCCTGGCCCCTGCCCTGCCCCCTCCTGGGCTTCCTGAGAAGCACAGCTGTCAGGCCAGGGCCCCACTGCAGCTCACCTCCCAGTCCTCTATAGAACTCTGCCACTGAGCAATTTTGGTGATGTTTTCCAGTCTCCGTTTCCGCTCGTTAATGAGCTGGGCCACGTTTTTCATGGCACGCAAAGCAGCCTCGACATCCCTGAAGTCCCTGGGCAGGACAGATGGGAGGGTGCTGCTGTCTGCTGAGAGCACAGCAGGCGTCTCCCGAAGCCACCCTGTGCCCCTTGGCCACTGAAGTGTAGTCCCAACTCTTCTCCACAAATGCTAGGCATGCACAGGCTATGTCCTCCTGATGTCCCCTCCCCTCCATGCCCACCGCAGCATGCAGAACACAGTGGGTGAGGCCCAGCCTCCGTACCTGTGCTGGGGTGGGGTGTACTTGAGAAGCTCTGCCAGTTGCAGGGGGTACTTGCAGATCTTCTGCACAGGTGTTAGCAGGAAGCCATCCAAGGAGATGTCAATCATCTTCTGCAGTAGCCGGCAGGCCTCAAAGAAGTACATGTACTTGCTGAGCTTGGTGAGCCGAGAAAGCTCCACACAGGCATTGGGGTGGTTGTTGCAGTATTCAGAGTAGATCTGGAAGTCTGCTTGCTGTGTGGCAAAGGGAACAGTTTCTAGGTAGGGTGGCTGGCTTCTGCTTCCTAGGCAATGAGCCACCCATCTGGGGGAACCCGGGCCTCTGGATTCCTTCATGAGCTGGACTAGGGACCTGGGCTTTATATCTGCTTGGTGATGGACCACAGCTATGTGGAGTCATCCATAGATGGGGAGACCAAGGACATGTGTGCCCATCCTGTGCCTCCCAACTTCATCAGTAAGGCCCTTAGGAGATATTTTAACTGTATCAAAAAAACAATCAGTAGTAGCAGTAAGAAGGGCTGTCCAGATCAAAAGGTGCAGATGAGGGTGCAATTGCTTCACCCAACAGGGCCCTCCAGGAAGCAGACCCGAGCCCAAAGCAGAGAAGGGTGCTGATCCCCAGGGGCCCAGCGGGAGCCAAGAGTAGAAGAGCGCCGGATCCCCAGGGGCCGGGCAGAGCTCACGTGCTCCAGGAAGCAGGCGCCAAGCTCGCTGAGGTGTGGGTGCTCACTGTTGAAGCTGCGCTCCAGGGCCCTGGCAAACACCTTCTGGCGCCGATAAATGTCTTCGATGTTGCCGAAGATGGTTCGCAGCTGCTCCTCGCTGAACATGTCGGAGCGCCGGCGGCACTGCCTGAGGTAGCCCTGCGGGCACAATCATAGGGTCAGGGCAGGGTAGGTGTCTCCCCCGCCTGACCAGGGCAGGGCCCCCTTACCTCGCAGATGTCTCGCAGGTGCTTGATGTAGTCACGCTCTGTGCTAAGGATCTCATTGATGACGTTGGTCCGCATCTGGTCCTTGCTGCTTGGTGCTTCTAGCCCACAACCCTCTGCCTCGCCTTGCCGAGCCAAGGGGGCCTCAAAGTTGTCATCCTCAGCTGGCTCGTCCTGGTTCACACGCAGCTGCGGGCAATGCAAGGCCACTCAGTGCCCCACACCTGCATCAGGAGCGCGCAGGATGGGCAGTGCCTGTGTCACCACCTCCTTGGTAGGCCCCGAATTGCCCTGCTTTCTGCAGACTTTGCTTATGTTCAGCAGGGCCCCTGGAACATGCACTAGGGCTTTCCAAACCACAGTCTGCTCTTGTTGTGCCATCTAGAGGCTGAGGCTGGGGTTCCGTGGCCTGATCTTGCCAGCTTTCTAAATTCAGGAAAGGGTTTGGGAGAAGAGGGGACAGTTTACCCAGGAAGCCTGCGGCTCTAGGCAGACCTTTTGGAGACTGCACTTGGATTCCTTCCTGGAGACCAGGAGCACTTTAGGTGGGATCTGGGGACCCGCCCAGTGAACACCTGGGTTGGTGGCCGCTCCAACCCAGTAAGTGGCCCGCAGGTAAGTGGTACTCTAATGCTCACCATTCTCCTTGGCAAGTGTCATCTCCAGTCACTCCTGACCTACTCCCTCTGGCCCGAGGGCTCTCCTGGAGGAGCCAGGATTGAGATGGAAGAAGTGCTGACGGGTGGGGGAGGAAAATCCTGTCACAGTTCTCAGACCCCCACCCATGCAGCCCCAGGCACCAGCACCGTGCAGAGAGCGGGGTTCACCCAGAACCCGGGACTCTAGAGCTGTTCTGAGTGTGGATTTCTTGAGCCTGGGCCCATACCCTCACGAAGCTGGCTGGAAACCACCCCTCGTGGTCAGCAACACGGCCCCACCACCACTCTCTGTTGGTGGCATCCATCACTTCGATGACATCTCCAGCTTGGAAGCCCAGTTCCTGGTCATCCATGGTGACATGGTCCCAGAGTGCTTCAGCACAGACCACACTGCCATCGCTGATCAGCTGTGGAAAGAGCCAGGCAGGTGGGTCATGGGTTAAGATTGCCTGGGGCCCCAGGCTGAATCCTTCCCTGCCCTTTATTCCTCCCTCAGCCATCCTGGGAAGAAGGAGTCCTGACCTACTCTACAGAGAGGCTGACAGGCTTCCCTTTAGCCCATTGTGGAGCTATTCCCTGGGCAGTCTAGACTGTCTAGGGTATGGTGGTGGAGTCGGAGGTGAACTAGAGCCAGCATCTTGACTACCCTTCACCTGGGCCACACATTCCAAACCCCATACTGAGCCTCTCAGCTTTCAGCCCTGCTTCTGAGTTGCTGCCCGCTTCTGAGTTGCTGCCCCGGGGTATTGGGGCTGAGGCTGTGCCAGCTGCTGCCTGGTAAGCTCTTCTCAGGCAGCATCCTAGGGGCTGCAGAGCTGTGGGAAGAAGGGGGTTGCAGCCTGCTGTGGTTTTCTACTCATGGGCCTGCTATGCCACCTAGCAATCAACAGTGCTGTTTCATACAGGGGCAATAGTGCCCTGCCACTATAGTGGCCAGATCCAGTTTTATTTTTTTGAACTTTTGCAGAGCCAGCCTTAGGACCACTGGTAGCATCAGCAACCAGGATCTCCACATTGGCTCAGCAGCATACCACCTTGGTATTCCAGGTCCCAAGATCCAGGACTGCATGTTTGTGGAGAAGTGGGTGGACCTTACAGTTCTGAATTGCAGCGGATGCTTCTGGATTGCTCTACTTTGGAACTACATACTCTGTCACTAAGTGAACCACTAAACCCAGTTTCTCTCTGCATGAACCACTGATAAACTTCCTTTCTTAGAGGACTGGCAGGTTGTGAGGCCTGCTTGCCTGGGCCCCTCTGAGGCAGTCTGTGCTCCTGGATCTCTCTTTTTCACTGGGGTGACAGCTGCTTTCCTGTAATGTGGGCTCCATTTCTGTGCCAGTGGTTTTAGGACAGGAGATAAGTAGCAGGCTAGAGCTTCAAATACCTCTCCCTGATGAGACTTGAGTGTTGGCGTCCCCCATCACAGCCACCGGCCTGGCACAGCAATTAAGGAATGATCTGTGTGTCACTTGGCAGGTACTCGTAACCCCTCTGCTCTGGAATCCCTGGGTGCTCCAGGGCAGTGCGCATGCTAATCCTCACCCAGGCAGGGGACTCAGGGCAGGGTTGTATCTCTCAGGGGTGACTGTCTGAACCTCCACCCCAGGGCCAGCTGCTACTTAAGCAGCTTCTGAGCCCACAGGGTAGGGTGGGGCAGGGTGAGGGCAGGAGCTTTCCTTCAGGCAGGTTTAGGAGGCCTGGTTGCTGCTGGTTCTTCCTCTTTCCTAAGGGCCATGGATACTCTAGGCAAGCTTGTGTATATGTGCCCACAGATGATGGTGGCTGCTCGTAAGTCCACCTGGATATTCTGGGCACAGAGTGTTATGGCCTAGCTCTAACCAATGCGCCTCCATCCTGATCTGTATGCACTGTTTTGATAGGATTAAATTTCCATTTCCAGTAAAGACTTAAGTTTCAGCTTCTTGTAAATCCCCCAAGCCCCCTTCTGCATGTTTCTGCAAGGTGTGCTGTTCTGGGAAAATGTTTAACTGCAGAGGGCAATGGAATGTACCAAGAATCCCAGATGTTATCTAAAATAGGTCAACAGTTTTGTGGGGTTTTTTTAGCTTTAAAAACCCTGCCCTTAGTCTGTTAGATGCACAGTCTTCCATATTGGCTACTGGAGGCTGCGTTGCCAGGCCTGGAAGTAAAGCATTTGCTCCAAATTCCTTAATTTCTTGCTTCCTTGTATTTTATTCTGGGGTCCGAGCTATCACATTTGGGGGCTCGTCTGGGAAGCAAGACCCCGACTCAATTCTGAACACCTAAATGTAAGTACTCTGGAGGTTTTGTTTGGACCATGGACAGTTCGTACTTTTGGAAGGGTTGCCCTCAGTTTGGTGAGTAAGGACCTCCGGAGGACAGAGTCAATTGGTTTTTGGGACAAATTTCATCCATTTATATGGTTTTGGGGACGAGTTTCATCCATTTGTAACCCTGCCCTGGGTGGGGAACCGCTCTGTTGGTTAATTTGTTAATTCCTCCAGATTCCAAAAATTTGACCAATTTTTGAACAAAGGCCACTTTTGCTGCAGCTTGTCTTGTCTTGTATGTCTGTCTGTATGCCTATTTGGTCTAACTGTTCTCCTTTTGGTTACCCAAATCTAACAACATTTTTTCCTAGGAACCCCTTCTATGAGCCCAAAACTGACAAAAAGATTTTGACCATTATTTTCGTCTCATTGTTGTTCTGTCTCTTCTTCCTAATCTTATTTTTGTCTCTTAGACTCTCCCACAGGAAAAAAGAACTGACATCTTTGCTGGCCATGGGGCAAACTGAATCTAAGTCCAGCACACCCCTTAGCCTTGTGCTTGATCACTTCAAGGAATTCAAGCAGTTGGCTGAGGAATATGGGGAAAGAGTTCATAAAGCCAGATTAACAACTTTTGTCACACAGGAATGGCCCCTAGGGACCCAAGGGGTCTGGCCCCGCTCTGCGTCTTTTAGCATGGAGACAGCACAAGCTGCTCACCGGTATGTTTTTGGGCCCTCTGCTCACCCTGACCAAATTGTCTATATTCAGATCTGGATAGACATAATTTATGATGCCCCTTCCTGGATTAAGCCCTCTCTCGACAGAGTCATTTCGGCCCTCAAACCAAAAGTAAAACCTGAGAAGCCACCTTCTGAATCTACCACGCCTCCAATCCAGCCCTCCAAGGAAGACCCCCTTGACCCACTGGAGGCACTCCCGCTGCCTCCCCTGTACCCCACCTCTGACCCCCAACCTGATTCCATTGCTCCATCCCCACCATGTCCCATTTGCACCCATCAACACCCTCAGCCCAAGGCATCTTCAGAGCAGAGCTCTGAGGTGGCTCCACTTTGTCCATTACGGGAGGTCCCTTGGCCGGGTGGGAGCTCAGTGTTTCTGTACACCCCTTTCTCGTTTTCAGACCTCTATAACTGGAAAGCCCCAAGCCCTCCATTTTCTAAGGATCCTGCAACTCTGATTAACCTTTTAGAATCTGTATTCTCCACCCATTGCCCCACTTGGGACCACTGCCAACAGATCTTGCGCATCCTCTTCATGGCTGAAGAGACTGCACATTTGCACTCTTGGGCAAAAAGGGGTCCAAGATCCAGATGGATCTACATCCACTGATTGGCAGAGAATCAAACGCCTATTCCCTTCGTCCCGACCTGACTGGAGCCCCAATACAGACGGAGGTAAGAGGGCTCTTGATGATTATCACCTGAGGCTTCTAGATGTGCTTCATGCTGCTGCCAAGAAGCCCACCAATTTGTCCCAAGTGACTATGGTAAGACAATTGGCTGATGAATCTCCTGCTGTGTTCTTAGAGCGCCTCCTAGAGGCATATAGATTGCATAAACCAATTAATCCGATGGCACCTGAACATGCACGAGCAATTAATATTGCTTTTGTGGCCCCCGATGTTAGGAGAAAATTACAGAAGCTTGAGGGATTTGGGGGAATGCCCCTCAGCCAGTTAATAGAGACATTACAAAAGATCTTTGAGAACAGAAAGAGTTTACAAGAAGCTACCAACAAGAAGATGACCAAGGTGTTAGAATTGCTCTGTGAGAGAGAAACTAAAAATCCAGCCAATACCAATAAGAAGGAAGCTCAGGGACAACGACCTCCACTAGATAAGGAACAATGTGCCTATTGCAAGGAAAGGGGACATTGGCAAAAAGATTGTCCAAAGTTAAAGGCTAAGTTAGAAAGAGAAGCAAAAACCTTGTTGTCTCAACAATGAGGAGGTCAGGGCTCGCTGCCACCCCCTGAGCCCTGGATAACCCTTCAAGTGGTGGTGGTGGTGGGGGAATCCAGTGGATTTCCTGGTAGATACAGGAGCTACCTATTCTGTACTGACCCAACCCTTGGGAAAATTGACTAAAGACTCAGTTAATGAAATAGGAGCCACAGGGGGACGAAGATCATACCTAAAGGTGACCGCTAGTTTGGCTCAACCAGGCCATAAGTTAGTCCAGCATGGTTTCTTATGGGTACCAGCCCCCCCCCCCCCAGGATGAGACCTCCTTCATAAGTTGCAAGTACAAACTGACTTCTTAACAGATGAGCCAAAATTAAGATTGGGAACAGACTCAACCCAAATTCCTGAAAAGAGTATTAGAGTTTTGGCCTTGGCTCCACAGGGAGAAAATTACCATCCACTGGAAAATTTGACCAATCCTCCTAAGCTGTCACTTGCAGACCCAGAATTAAAATTATTAGAAATATGGACACAAGAAATCCCCAGGGTCTGGGCTGAAACTAACCCTCCAGGTCTAGCAGTCAACCAAGTGCCCCTTGTAATTGAGCTCCTACCTCAGGCCGCCCTATTTGTTTGTGTCAATATCCAATAAGTCTCCAAGCTCGAAAGGGAATTAAAATTCATATACAGAGACTAAGAGAAAATGGTATCCTCATCCCTTGTGTCTCCCCTTGGAACACGCCCTTGCTTCCAGTCCAGAAACCAGGGACAGCTGACTATCATCCTGTGCAAGATCTCCGGGAGGTCAACAGATGGATATTGACTTTACTTCCAACAGTGCCTAACCCCTACACTATACTCAGCCTCCTCCACCCATAGTGCACCTGATACTCCATATTGGGCCTCAAGGATGCCTTCTTCACTCTATGTCTCGCCCCAGTGAATCAACCCATTTTTGCCTTTGAATGGACCAACCCAGATTCCCGGGTCACGGAACAACTGACTTGGACTTGGTTACCACAGGGTTTTAAAAACTCACCCACCCTTTTTGATGAGGCTTTGGCTAGAGATCTCTTGGGTTTTCGTGAAGAACACCCCAAGGTAATGCTTCTACAGTATGTGGACGACCTGCTGGTAGCTTCATCCACCTTAGAGTCCTGTCAAGAGGCAACGGGAGCTACTAAAAACTTTGGGATGATTAGGTTATAAAGTTTTGGCCAAGAAA